CTGGATCTGAGATGGTTTCTTGTATTTTAGTGTGCATTTCCTTTAGTTTGCTGGGAGTGATCATCTCTTGCTAACATATTTGAACAACTTTTTGCTCATGTGCATTTCACAGGGAGATTTCTGAAAATGATATGTGACAAAAAAGTATAAAACTCACTATAAGTTTAGCTAGAATTAATTTTTATGAGTTAGGAGGCCTAAATTTATTTTTTCCCCAAATGGTTATGTTATTTTAATACTATTTGTTAAATGAACTGTTCTTCCCCTACTGACTTTGAAAGGTCACTTTTATCATGTACTTAAAAGATGTTTTTGTTTCCAGATTCCCAGCTATTAGATTTAATTTTGGCATCAGGCACCTGAGTTATTCTTAACCTGGTTCATTGAATGAATGACAGATTTTGTCAGTCAAGGAAATGTGTTGCTAGTCAGACAATAGAGGAAACAATTCATGGCATCATTCTAGTTAATTCTAGTTAAGTTTGATTTAGATCAGTTTCTTTCTCTACGAACTTGGATTATTAAAAAATGTACAAGCTTCTCCCTCAGATTGGTTCCTCTTTTTTTTAGGAGACAACTCAGAGGCTCAAAGAAAAGATGGAGAGGCTTTTCAGCAGGCCCCCTCTTTCTAAAAGCACTTTTTGATGTTAAATATTTGTGGTGATTTAGAGCTGTTTCCAGGCAAGTAAGAGAGTTTCATGTGGCATGACAATTTTACTGTTGATTTATACGAACCTTTCATTCTTCAAATGATACGAGGGCCATAAACCATGACATATACTGTGAATAAATAAAATGGCACTTCAGCTTTTACTTTTTATATTAACTATGAGCTCCTGAAGTGTACAAATCATGTCCCATTCATCTCTCTATCCCCAAACACATAGCACAGTATGCAGCACCTGAATAGAAACAGAATTCAATTGCATTTCAATAGTTTCTATACGATAAAAAGTAAAAGCCAAACTTCTTGAAAACAAAACCTTTATTTTAGAGGCTTTACAAAGTTACATGTATTTTTTTCTGTCCATTTGCCACCTGATTAAACTATAATGCATTTTTAGTAGAAATACGAGAATTCTAACTTGATCTGATATTGTAATATTTCATGCCCAATTATGGGGAAAAAAGGTCCTTGCTTTCTGTGGACTTCTTCAGGTACAATTTATTAATAGATGTGTTGCATGCTTGTAAATGACAGCAATAACTGTGATCTGGAGAACGTTTTAGATGTTTAGATTGCAGTAAGTGAGAATACTTTATAGTCGTTATATAGAAATATCTTAGGCATGCAAAAGAATGAAATGGAATGATAAACTCAGCTTTTTTTTTTAAATGAGAAAGGAGAAGTCTGACATTTGCCTCAGTTATTTTTAAGGATTAACCTAGAATAACTTTTTCTTCCCTCTTTCAATGGGATAACTTTCCCTTCTGTAGACAATGTCTTACTTAGTCCATAAACTTAGATGCTGGGTTTTATATAGCTCAACACATGAAATCAGGCCATGGGAAAATTCCCCAAACTGCCTAATCTATCAGTTTCCCTGGTGAGGAGAGGGACTATAAAGCTAATTCACCATCTAAGTATGTGAAACAAATTCTGTGCAAAATTCATTTCTTACTTTACCATTACCAATTTCAAAAGGCTATTTTTATGATGATTCTGTTAAAAAAATGTCTATGACTTTTAGCTTGCTTTGTATAGTGCCTCATTTAGCCTTTTTCATTTGTGAACACAGCATGTAGTACTAACTGTAGCCCACTAAGGAAATTGTTAAGTAGCACTCTACAGTAATCTCCCCACTGACAAAGCAAATATATTCATTCAGAGGACAGAGCCTGTTCTAGAACTTCTGTGACCAGATAAAGACATATATGAAATAGGTGCATTCTGGAATGTTGAAAAGGAAAAATTGGGTTAAAATATACATGACTAAATAATAAACTATTAGTATTGCTAAAAAATAGAAAGATGGATTAGTAGGCTTAAGGCAGGAGGAGGTGGAAGATAAGGTCATTTCTTAGATGACGGACACAAAGGAAAGAATTTTGTGAATGGTGGTGAAGAATGAAAGGTTGAAGCCTAGCAAAAACCTATCCTGACATGGTTTGTCAGTACTTACAATGGGGCCAGAACCCACATTACCCTTTCTGGGGAGAAAGGGATAGCTCTGAGAGGCTTCTGGCCACTCTAACCCTAGTCACCATAAAAGGACTATATTTAATTTACCTTTACGGCTGAATTTAGTGACAAAAAAGGATCCTCTATTTTCCACTTCCACTCATTCCCCTTTTGCTAAATTCTTGAATTTTCTTTAACAGAAAACTAAGATTTTACTTTCCTAGAGACCTATGACTGTTGGAAGGAAAAGTCTGACTCAGGCGAAGTCTTGCGGCTCTCTGATCTTTCCTTGGAGCAAGAAAGGCAAGGATACCTGATGTTGAGAATGGAGTGTTCATTGTGGAGGCCAAAATGGTACAGCAAGACCCAAGACAGACTTCCTTCATGAGCACCGCAGATTGTCTATGTAAGCTCACGTATTCATCATTTCTTTTCTGGATCATTATCGTCCCTTATCAATTAATTCTTAGCTTCCAGTTTCAGCTCCCAATCTACCTCACATCTGCCACTGTAGTGTTTAACTTTCCCAAAATGCAAATTTGATCACAATCCCACTGCTTAAAATCATTCAATAAGTCATTACTTTCTGAATGGACAGAAGCCAAGCAACTAAAGTAGGTGAGGTAATCTTTGCCTGTACCCATGAAACAAATCTGTGGCTAAAAGCTTTGTACTCTCCTTTAAAACTTTGAGCAGTTTTCTTATGACCTGTCTCATCTCTTGAGGAAACCTTCCCTGACAAAGTCATTCTTGACTGTGTATCTTTATTATTATTACATTGTATCAATGATTACCTTATATCCTTGATTAAACTGTTATTTTGAGGGCTGGGCTTTGTCCTTTTTAGGACTTTTTAAGCGACTGGATTCAAGTCACAAAATTTGTGCAACTGAACTATAAAGCCGCCTTAAAAAATGACTTTAGATTGTCCTAAACTTTGTTCCCAGAAAATTAGCTATTTCTAGTTCTACAAATGAATATTTCCACAAAGAACAGTATTTTGATTATTCTAATTTTTAGGATCACTGGCCCCTTTTTTAAAGGTCTAGGAGTGACTAGAGTTTGTAATTTGTAGAAGTACCACAATCTTTGACCTGCAATAATTCTTTGGGAATAATGGCAGTTGTTATTATCCATCACTGGATGATTGATGATAAAGTGTTCTTATCTTAATACTCCTACTTAACTTAGAATTTTGGAAAAAACAGTGGAAATATCCAGCTATTTTGGACATATATTAAGTAAATGCATATTTAATATCCAAAGCTTGTGTACAGTTAGCTGTAAAATCACATTGTAACTACCTAAAATAAATTTTCTTTGGGGAAAGTTAGGCTTGTATTACAGATATACTACCATATCAGAAACAAAATGTTCTATGACTTTCTAGTTGGCTAAAATAACAAAAATCTTAAGCAACACCCTGGTCTATGAGCATCACACTAAGAAAATTATAGATGGCATTCCTGTAAGAAAGACTGCCCCGAAATTGGCCATCTCAATAAATTAATATTGCAGTCAGTCATGTGGAGCAAAGACCCTAAATTTTTAGGTAAAACTGAAACTAAACAAATTAATCAATTGGGAGAATATTTATGTTTCCAAATACAGTGTTATCTGATGCTGAAAAATACAATAGCTTTTGCACCCTTAAGCTTGGCCCTCACTTTGGAGTCAGAGCACACCTTATGAGTAGGATGTAAAGGCATCCTTTATTTTTTTTTGGGGGGGGTGTATATAAGGGAAGGTCGAGTTTAAAGGGAAAAAGGGAATGATAAAAGCAGAAAATAGGTACTATTATAGTTTTGCATTTTTTTAACATTGCACCATGAGTTCAGTATCTTCTCATGTCATTAAACTGAAAAGTATATTAATATTTAAGGCTCGAAACATATTGCCAAATTGCTTTCTAGAAGTACACAGAAAAGCTTGCCTTTCTATATCAGGTTCCACTATTTAAAAGACACATAAAAATTTTCTAAATATTGATTTCCATCTTTTAGGTTACTAAAGGCAGAACCTTTAGAAACTACTTCTTCTGTGGCCTATCCATGTTTCCTCTTTTGTTGTTTTCTTAAAATGTAAAAAAATTGCTTTTAATTACTTTAAGCTAACACTAATCATTTTCTTTGTGTTTGTTACTTTTATGTTTATAAAGTGTTTTTCTATCACCAGAACCAAAAGTTGTATTTTCATGAATTCCTACCTTTCCTAATACTAGTTTTTCTCCACCTGCATTAAATCTGCTGTTGGCACTTGAGGGCCGCAACTAAGTGAGCATTTTGGTTAACATTCCAACATGGAAGTTTTGCTTTCTCTCATCGGTGGTGGCTCTACTTAAAATCTTTCTCACATTTTTAGGGTTCCTTTAGCTATTCCTAATGGTATCTATTAACGTCAAAATTTGTTTATACTGAACAATATATCCTGCAGCATAACTAAAATATAAAATAGTTGATAATCCCACATATACCTTACCTTATGCATTTAGTTTCTGGCTAATCTGATTAAGTTTTTATTTAAATACATAAAGAAGAATACTTATTTATCCTCTTTTAATGTAAAGAGCTAACTATTGGTTCTCATTAACTCCTGATTAGCTAACAGGCCATAGATACAGAGCATGTTAATCTCTATAGGCACCTTTCTGAATTCAAGTAAATGTTTTTGGTAGACGAGGGTTTTCTACTTAAATGTCATTGACATAATATGAATATTGCTCACCTCTCTTGCATTCTTTAAATTATTTTACTTTGAAAATTTAAGAACTATCAATAAGTCTTTATTTAATAACATGGGTTTTCATTTAAGGAGTATTCTGAACTGTGAAGGTACAAATCTAATCAAATTAAATTTTGAACACATATAGAGCCAAATATTTCAACAAAACTGCAGTTTAATTCCAGAAAATGTGTTAAAATATATATTTATACATCAATTTCTGACATATACACTTAATGTGTTAGTATACACAAAATGATGCTTTCTCTTGAAACTGTATTTATGAAATGTACATTTTAATTTAAATACTCAGTATACACTGCACTTTATCTGCAAGTTGCATTTATTAAATACATTAAAATCTGCAATGTAACAAAACGTTTTCTGCATACGAAATTCAAAACACCATTTTAAATGAACAAAAGATGGCTCACTTAATTTTTTTGTATTTTACAACTAGTGTATAGTACACTAGCTCAGCTCCACCATACTACCTGTTCGTTCTTTTTTATTTGACATTGTTCACAGACTAGTACATATTACAATAAGAGTGCTGGATAAAAACATGAGGTACGAAAGTGGTTCAAAGAGTATAGGTCATGCAGATCATGCTAGACAGTAAAGAAAATTGTGACCAAGAAAACACTAAAAAAAAAAAAAAAAACAAAGAATGTGCATTATATATATATAAAAAAACAAACAAAAACTCCATTACACAGCTTTGCTTCTTTGGTTACAAAGTAGGTTGAACAATTTCACAGCTTTTTATTCCCACCCTCTCAAAAAAAAGTCATACGAAATGTCAAAAAGCAGAGGAATCGTGGCAATTTTTCTATTAGAAAGTAGAAACAAATGAACAAAGTTTTCTTCATCAAAATAGCCCAATTATTTATTATATCACAATAACTGGTGACTACCTGTACAGTTGCACTATGTTCTTCATACTTACACTATACAAAATTTACATTCAAGCTGGGTCTTCACTACTAAAAATAAATACCGAAGGTAAATTGCCATTAGTGTTAGAAATATGCCAGGATTCTTTTGTTCAATTATTGCCTAAACATTTTATCTATTAAATGCAATCCTGTCTTTCAATTCCTTTACTGATACTTATAATTATTCAAAAAATTAAAAAAGTTCTGTGACATTGTTCATGTACATTATGAAAATAGCAGCCCTGTAATAAATAAAACACAAATAAATGAAAACTTATATAGGCAAATGTTACTGATATTGAAAGAAAAGTGGCTCTTTAGATGAACTGTTATTTATAATATGATAGGAAGGCTCAGGGTAAATCCATGTAATAGAAACACGGAAGAGCCACCAAAGCTCTTAAAAGACCCCACTCATGCCCACCAGGTAAAAGGCAGACTTTGCTTGCTTTCATAAACCCCAATTATTATTCTCCTTGTGTACTGATGACGTAAAGCTGGACATCAACAGTGCTGCATGTCATCTCAAAGAGAGGAAAAGCTCTTGTAGAATGATTGTCTAATACTGAAAAGGCCAAACACACAACCGAAGCATGGCTACTTGCTTTCGTATAAAGTGGAAAGAACACCAGTGGCACACAAGATAGACTGCTTTCAGTTTTTTTCTTAATGAGGCAAGAAAGCTTTATGCTGAGGAGACATTCGGCTGCTGTGGAGGTTGCGCTGGCTGCGGAGGCTGTGCTATCACTGCTTGCTGTTGAGAAGTGCTACCAGGATTGGCCTGTTGGGCTGGGAGTTGGGATAATTGATCATTGTTTGAAAGAGATTTTAACAGTGCATTTTCTCGTTCAAGTAAAGAGTTTCTTTCAACTAATTCTTTTATTTGTTCCTTTAGAACTTCCACTTCTTCTCTTACTGCATACATCAAATGGCTTTTCACCAAATCCTGTGAAAAACAAAATTAGGAATGTCAAAAAGAAAGAAAGGAAAAGGTGTTGCTATTTGGTTCTAGCCTACCCAGTGCCTTATGAACGAAAGGTGTTTTTATATCAGTTTTCCTACTCTTGCTTTTCATATTTCTACTGTATCTTGAATGGCCCTAAAGGAGATGGGGTGGAAAAAATCCAGTTTCCAACTAGGGCAGCAAGCCCAGGATTTTCTTTTCAAAGTTTGAAGAGATTTCCAAAAATATTAGCTCTTTAAATTCTCGATTATAACCTTAGAATTAAAAAAGTTTGAAAGTCATATGCTTAGATGTGGGAAAAGGATATTAAACTGTCTGATATTAAACTAGTTACATAGTACTGCTTTAAGAGATAAGGTGATCCTGCAATTTCCAACCTTAAAACCTTGTGTTTTTTAATAGTTTGAGACTAACAATCCTTATTTATAGTTTTGCTACAGTTTTAATAAATTTGAATCAGAATATTTTATATAACATGAACAGAGTATCTTTAAGGAAATAACAATATTTGATAGTAATAGAAATCAGAACCAGAATCAACAGAACAAGTCTATTCATTAAAGCTGAATAAAACAGTGTCTGCATATGACCAAAGGATGACAAAAATTTCCAGCTGAAGTTTTCATTTTAATACTTTTTTGGTCTCTAAATATTTCTGATGCTGAAATACTCGGAAAAACATAATGCATTTTGACTGTATAACTCCCAAATGGCTCTTATCAATGGCAATGCAAGAAAAATGTGAGATGTTCAAATGGGGAAAATATATACTCCATTGATATTTTTAGACTAAGATTCTCAATGTTCTAACATCTTCAGTTAAATCTCATTATTAAAAAATTACTTTGGTCATCTTGGTTTAAAGAAATTAGGTTTGTTTTTTTACAATTGATATAAACCAAGTGCTTTGCACAACCAGCAATCTATAAAATAAAGGCTATAAACTTTTACTTACCATTGCTTGTTCTATTTTGTTGTCAATGGCTACAACACCTCCCCCAGATGCACTGGAAAAAATTAGAATATTTCATTAAATTATTCTAAAAAATGTAATCTCCCTTCCAATTCTTAAAATAATTAAGAACATCTGTGTGTTACTTAAAACAAAAAATAGTAATTCAAAGTTTATTAAGTCTATTCTCACAATTTTAGTACTAAGAGAGCTCTCATTTCGAAAATGAGGATCTCAGTAAATAGATGACACTTCTAAAAATCCTTTGTAGTTTCAACTTTTCTAATTTGCTGATGGCAAAATATGCTACTTTACAATTTTATTCAGGGTTTCTCAATTCAGCGATTAAAAAGATAAAATCTGAATGAACAGTACCCTCTCCACAACTCTTAAACTTCAACGAACAGCTACATATCCTAAATTGCTTTTCAGGTGGAAACCCACTCAGTAGTTACTTATTGCATTAAACTTCAGATGATGACTTTTCTTCTATAGATTTGATATTTTAATATCTGCTTTAACAATTTTTAGATCTGGCTCATAAAAATGATTCAGAGGGCTTTAGGGCAAACAGTACTTGCAGGGTTGGTTAACAAGGAACTCAAAATTCTGGCTAAACTATGGAGCTTTGATTGTAGGTTACTAGCTGGCAAAATCACCTACTAGGTAAGGAATGTGCTTTGGAACCAGTTTTTCTTGGAAATAAGTGGTAGTCTAGCTGGTAAGTACATCTAAGTTCAAATATCGGCTTAGCAATTTGTATGATACTGATACAGAAGAGTAAATAACTGTCGTCTTTGGCAGTTTATAGTCTCTTGTGTATTAAATAGTAAGTGTAGTGAGGCTCCCTATCTTTTTCTTGGTGTTTTGTAAATTTTGAACAGTTATAAAGTTTTTTTATAACGACAAATCTAATACTTTAGTCCTCTGAATCAATACAAAAAGAAGTCTTTAAGCAACTTTTTATAAAACTTTACTAAATGCTCTCTGTAAAATATACCCTAGCCAAGAAAACCTTGATAACTGTAAAGTATTTTACTTTAGATGTGGACCTTCAATGTTGTATCAAACTGGGTCTCAGGAATGTGTCTGATGTAGTGGTGCCTTTTATATTATAGTCTAAGTATATATGGTTATAATCCTGGTCCTGCTACTCACTACCTATGTGACCATTAGCAAATCAACTATTTAAACTTCCCTGGACTTCAGTTTCCTTATCCATAAAATGAAGGGACTGGTTTCAATGCATCCCTGGCCTTGCCACTTCTTAATCCTCAAAGCTCTGAATCAGTTTGTGGAGAAAACACTAAGTTTGTTTATCTAAGCATGAACAACATTAATGACAGCATACTAATTTCACTTTTTGCTGCTGCTATTTCTAAGATGAAAAGGAACTTCTGTCTACTTAAGTAACTGGGAAGGATCTACCATTAATAAGTACTCATATTGGCCACAATTTGATAAAAAAGATAGTGATAGGCATTTAGATTAATGTTTTTTTGCCCAAGAATTTTAGATTATACTTTCTACATTTTTTATTTCTATGTCAAGGAAAAACGGAATTAGTTTTAGCCATTTCATGACTTAAATATTCAATTCTTTTAACACATCTGTTTTAAACACAACACCTTAAATGCTAATTTTAATACCAGTTTTATATATTAACAAGCAAACAAACAAACAAAAAAACCCCGAACTCTAAAGAAAAGCTTCACTGCCTCTTTTTGATAAGTAAAATAAAATCAGTTAAGTTTCCAAATCATTCCCTTAGCAAAAGAACAATAATTAGCATATTTTTTTCCTGATTTAACAAACTTAGTCCTGACTCTCTCTTAACAGCAAGAGGGACTGGATTTCAAAACATAAATAAATCATGTTAAAAATATGTCCCTTAAAAGGTATTAATACTTCAGTTTTGTTAAACATTGTACTTTAATAGAATTCAGTCAGATACTACTATCACTACAGTGACCTTTGGCTATTTTGAAGAATTTGAGAATTCTATAACCTACTGCAGTGGTTCTCAAACTTTAGCACCAGAGTCATCTGGAGGTCTTCTTAAAACAAAGGCTGCTGGGCTCCACCTCAGTTTCTGATACAGTACATCTAGGTTGGAGCCCAGGAATTTTCACTTCTAACAAGTTTCCAGGTGATGCTGATTCTACTGCCAGAGAGACCATATCAAATGTACTTTGAGAACCATGGGCTAACAGAGATGAAACTTGTAAGAGAAAGAATAATAAAAACTTAATTCTGTTTTGAAAAGTTCTTAGCCCAGTACACAAAACCCTTCATAACCTTGAGCACTGCCTTCTAGAGTTTCCTTTCCCCTCATACTCCATTTGGCCTACTGTATTATAATCTTACATAACTATTTTCAGTCTGTGGAACACATATTCTCTCAGGTTTCCATGCCTCTGTATGCTCCTTCAACTGGAAATGCTGATAGTTCTAATTCATTTGGTTATCTTTCACTTGTTCCTTAAGATATTCTAGTGCCATCTTTTCCATGCTGCCTTCTAATTTCCTAAGGTAGAACTAATTACTCCATCCCTCCTATGGTCCACTAATCTTCACAAACTTTTTACAGTGCATAACCAGGAAAGCAGATTAGCAAATTCTGGTTTCTCCATATACTCACTGTGTGAATTCTGGGGAATTATTTAACCTTTTTAGACCTTTTTTTTTCATCTAAAATAAGGATTACATGCCCCAATTCATAAATTCCTGTGATGATTAAGTGAGTTTAAACTCACTTAACTCTCCACTTAATACTACCACTGTTAACTCTCTGCTCCTTGAGGGAGGTTCCTTATCTTCCTGACCTGTGTGAAGAATGAACACAGTGCTTGGCACATAGAAGTTCAAATGTATACTGAAAGAGTCAATGAGATCATAATTGGATTTGAAACAATTACTGGTTTATAATAGGAAGTCATTAATATTTTTTGAGTTAGACTAAATCTCAAAGTACAGTCCCTAGACCAGCAGCATCAGCATTGCACAAGATCTTGTTGGAAATATAAGTATTTGGATATACCCCAGGCCAATATGAATTAGATACTCTTGAGGTGGGACCCAAGAAATCTATTTTAATAACCCATCCAGATGATTCTGATAAAACCTAAAGTTTGAGAACTACTGCTTTAAAATAGCTTGATTTATAATAAAGATACCAATATAGGAGGTAGTCTTAAATAAGTGGATAAGAGGGTATTCTATTTCAAAATCCCAGAACATGTGTTCAAAATCCTACTGTGTTCAAAATCAACATAGTGGTTTGGGCTTCATGTTCTCTTTTAAAATGAGAAAGATCAACTGAAGCAGAATGAATAATTTCCCTTCGTTTGCTTTCTTAACCTAATGGTGTAGTAGTATATGTTACTTTCTTTTTATTATTGCATTCACCACGCTATAACTTGATGTTAACCAGTTTCTGAACATACGGTCCCTAAGGGAAGGTTTCCTAAGACTTTGTAACTACTCTTGTAAACTTTAAGTGCTATACAAAGAGATAATTTTCTTTTTAAAAAAGAAACTTCCTGTTTACAATGGGTTACTCTTTTAGAATAAAATCATACCTTCATTAGCATTTACTAAAAATTATGCATATGGAGAAAACTGACAGGAGTATAGAACCTATGGGGGGAAAACAACAAGAATGGCTGCATTTTCTTTTATGTTGGATTTTTATTTACTAGAATTGCAGCCCCTAAAGAACCAAATGGGCCTGAATGTAGGGTTTTTATAAAGTAAATTAAAATCACATTTAAAGGAGAAGTAAAACTCAAAAGAATCAATGCTACAGCAAGATAGCTTGGCTTTCCATGTTGCTATTCATGTTTTAATTCATCCCAACTGGCCCCTGATACCACAGCATTTCTTCCCAGACCTCCTTATTCTTATCAGAACAGATCATTTGCAACTTCATGAGGCCAGAGAAGTCTCAACTTCTGAGAAGACAAGAGGTCAGATAGAAACCTCTAGCTCAGGGGTATCAAACTCTTTTTCACTGTGGGCCACATCAGCCTCACAGTTGCTTTCAAAGGGCCAAATGTATTATTTTAGGACTGTGTAAATGTAACTACTGCTTAACTAGGGGCAAGAAGCTCTACATTTGTCAAGGCTGATGTGGCATCCAGTGAAAATGAGTTTGACATCCCTGCTCTAGCTTCACAAGTTCCCCATACTTTCATCCTTCTTAATAGACTAAATGCTTTGTTTATACTCTCAAGCTCAGCAAATTCGTACAAACCATCCCATTTTTCTAAAAATTAAAACCAGAGTAATAACGTGATCTCTCTCTCTCTCTCTCTCACACACACACACACACAACTATGGGGAATAAAATTAATTTTTTCTTTATTAGTGTGGACAGAGACATCATGGCTACTTGTTTAAAATAGAAATAGTGCAAATTACTTCTCTTACATATTGACTACTTTATCTTCTGTTCTCCTCTGGATATAAATGCTAATTAACAAAGCAGCAAGGTAGAGGGGAAAAAAAACTTAAATAACTGTCTAGTTTTTGGCAGGCACAGATTATTTTAGTTAAGTATTACTACAAACATGAGCAGCATTCTCATTCCACAGTTCAGAAGACTGAGGTCAACAGCTTACTCAAAAACACAATGCTGGGGACAGGATTCAAACCCAGACCTAATAATATCAAAACACATGCCTTTTTTAAAAAACCTAACAGTAAGACTGAAAAAAAACCAAAACCAACCCAATCTATAATGACATAATAGAGTTGTGTATGAAGAGCACTTTGACTAAGCCCCATATGCTAGTTGTGAAACCATAAGCACAAATCCAAAACTTAAAACTGTTCATAATTGCCATTTATCTTATCTAGCACATTCCTAGAAGAGGTTCAGCTCTGAGAACAAGGGAGGTAACTTCTTGGAAAAGATGCTTGCTCAATGATCTTTAGACATCCAGTATAGTTACCTATTTGCTAAGAATTAATATTCTTTTTGTCTGTTAAAAGCTGAAGGTATCTTAAATATATGTATATACAGAATACTGCAAAAGAAAATTACCTTGCTTT